AAACTGGTTTTCTTAATAGTACCAAGTGAACTTACCATTAAAGTAGTTAGATTATTTAAGAAATTGTGTGATCAATACAATGTGGGGGAAAAGGAATGGAAGACAATTATAGACACCAGAAATAGTGTGAGAAGAGGGTGGGAAAGGACAGAGGGCTAGAAAGAGGGGTAAAAAAAATTCTAGGAACTACAAATGGAAAATTTTTGATAATAATATGCATGATTAAGTCACTATGCAGTATATTCTGGATGGGAAATCACATTTTATATGCTGTGATAATGCTTAGGAAAAGAATGTAAATTAAGTTACAAAAAAAAAGTTTCAGAAAAAAAATATCTATTCAATGATAGCCCCAGCTAGGTGCTACTTTATAGGATGCCTAAAGTTAGACTTGTGTTCATGGAAATGTATATATCAGCTGTGTTTGCTATGAAAATATTTAGATTAATTAAGATCTTTAATAATTCAATAAAAGTAGGGGGAAAACAATATAGAAAGTAAACATAGATACCAGAGTCAGTGTGGGAGCAGAGTGGGAGATAGCAGAGGATAAGAGATAGGGAATCAAGGATGGGGGAAAAAAACAAAACATACAGAAAACAAAAAATGGAAAATTATTTGTTGACAATAACATGTTTGTTGATGTGCTTGATTGAGACAATATACAGTGTACTCTGGATGGAAAAATCTCATTTTGTATGCTGTAATGATGTACAGTGAATGAATGTAAATAAATAAATTTAAATAAAATTACCAATGTGCTACAGTTAAGTAGAGCAAAAATATAAGCTAAAATAGTTTAACTCAGCTATTTCATAGCCAAAATTCAATGTACTTTACATAAAACAAAAGCTTTTATAATCTCAAATTTACAGTATTAATATGAAAAGACAACTTACCCGTTTTATTATCAAAAAATTTGATGTGTCTATCTTCATGAGCAGTTATTATAACAGGAAGTGTAGGATGACTTACTACTCTGTTAATGTGATTATTGGACTGTAAACCTAAAAAAATAAAGAAATACATTAAAATTCAAACATTCAGTTTAGAAGCTAGATGATGGCCTTTTTAATCTTACAAAAACATATGCATCATTAAAACTGAAAGACCTGAGTACAAAACAAAGGCTCAATAGCAATATATCTTAAAAAAAAAAAAAAAAAAAGGCATTTGAGTTACTATGCCTGGTTATATAGACAATACAAAGCTCGTTTAGAAAAAATTGTGTTTTAATATCCACCCTTAATATAAGTGGTTTAAAATTTCTAAAAGACTCAACAATAACTATTATTAATACTTCTAAAAAGTAGTGCATAGAAGAATTATAAACACTTAAGAAAAAAATTCATAGGTGCTAATTAAAAGAACAACCTCCATCCTATTTATACTGATAAAAAAGAAGAAAACTGGGATATATGTTGTTTAGGAATAAGATTTGTTTTATTAGCAAGCTCTTAACTATTTTTTACTAGATTAGAGATGAGAGAGAACAGAAAGATCAAACCAAATGAGAATATTATCAACATTATTACACTAAGTGTCAATCATATGCACGCATATAAGAATTCTCATATACTTAGTTTAAACAGTATGTGTATGTACATATGGAGAGAGAGAAACAGCTGAGGAAACACTGGAAGAGACATTTTGAATATAATTTGGCTTGAGATTTGACCATGGAACCAATCCAATAACTATTTCACATAATCATAAAACAAATGCTTTTTAGGAAAACAATTACTAAAAACTCAAAAATAATTTTTTGGGGGGGAGAGGTTTTTTTTTTTTTGCTATAGGGTGCGTGCGCTCGCCAGAGAGAGAGAGAGAGACAGAAAGCAAGAAATCCTCCCCCAGGGGGGATGGCCACAGCGCAATCCCTTCTCCTCCATTCTCCTCTCGGGATTTTGGGCACGCACCCACACGCACCCAATATGAGTTTAAGCCAGCGGGTCCAAGACTCGAACCGCAGTTGACTACATCAGAGTTCAGCGACACAGCCATTACGTTAACTGCTAGTCCCTCAAAAATAAAATTATCAACAAGTGAACTTAACCAAATATTTAATTAGTGGTATAACCACAAAGAAATGAACTATTCCAACTGATTTTAAAGTCTCGTAATAAGACTATTAGTTCTTTAATGAAATAAATCCTAACTATAAATTTTTATCAATAGTCAAATTATTTGTGATGATAATATTAATTTTTTAAAAAATATTTTTTCTATAGCACGTGCATTTACCAGAGAGGGACGGAGAGAGACACAGAAGAAAAGTGAGAAATCACCACCCACTCCAGGGGGCATGGTCACACCATAATCCCTTCTCTATGCTCCTCTTGAGATTTTGGGCATGCATGCACATGTATTCTGTTGTTTTTCAAGCTGCCAGGTCTATGACTCAAACCGAGGAATTGACCATGTGGGACCATACCATTTGCTGGCTCAGTGGTGATGGTATTGTTACTAAGATGATAGTGTACCATGGGATAAAACAAGTGAAATACAATGGTTTTGCTGAAAATCAAATAAATCTGAATCTTAAGTAGAAGTATTTTACTTTCTAAAAACACAGACTTCTTAGCTCTGTTCACTTTAAAAACCTAAATAATGAATAACCCAGGAACTATGAAGACTATGAGGATCAATCCAATAGCTTAGCACCTAGACTGTTTTCTCAAAATTCCAATTCCTGGGACCAGCAGATGGCGTAATAGTTATAGCACTGGACACCCATATAGTCAACCGCATTTTGAGTCCTGGACCACGTATGTGGCTTAAAACTCATGCCAGGTGTGTGTACATGCATGCCCAAAATACCAAGAGGAGAATGGAAGAGAAGCAACTGTAGTGTGGCCATCCCCCAGGGGGTGATCTCTCACTTTCTGTCTCCCTGTCTCTCCAGCAAGCATACATGCCCTATAGCAAAAATCTCAAAAAAAAAAAAAAAAAAATCATTTCCCACTAAAAGAAACCATGATGAACCTACATCTCATCCTCTCCTATCTGAAAGAAAGAAAACTATAAGCTACTAGGATCAGGTCAAAAGGACTCAGGAGCCAATCTGAATAAGCTCCCAGTCTGAAACGAGATAATCTGAGCAGCAATAAAGACTACACCTGCAGTGAGTTAAAGCACATGAAATACCGTTATATCAATGACAGATAATAACAATTCTACAAACACCCCAAATTCAATGGTTAACTCTGGAGGATACTAGTGAACTATCTCATTATTTTGAAACTGGATGGGGACTAGCAGGTGGCATGGTGGTTAAGGTGCTGGACACTCCCACATGGCTGACCATGGTTCAAGTCCTGGACCTGGTAGCTTGCTTTCTCACTTTCCCTCTCTCTCTCTGATTGAATTTAAATAAATGAATGAATAAATAAAATAAATAAAGTTAAATAATTATTTTTTTAAAAAAAGAAACTGGTTAATAAGAGAGGGGGAAACAAACAAACAAATAAACAAAAACAACCATTTATTTTGCCTTTCCTTAACAGTTGCTAACTGCAAGGTAACTGAATTATAGGGGAATAATTCTTTTTATAGAAGCATTCTAGCTAATGAATAGAGAAGAAATGATGGTATTAGAAAACTGCTTTTTAGGGGCTAGCAGGTGGCATGGTAGTTAAAACACTGGACACTCCAACATGGCTGACCATGGTTTGCATCCCAGACCTGGTGGCTTGCTTTCTCACTTTACTTCTCTCTCTCTGTGCCTTTCTCTGGTCAAATTAAAATAAAGGAATGGATAAATAAAATTAAATAAATAATTCTTTAAAAAAAAAAGAAAACTGTTTTTTAAGAGTTAATGAATTAGGTATCAGAAGGGGACACGGTAGAGAAGGTGCTGGCTTCTCACATGGCCAACTGCGGTCTGAGTCCTGGACCTGAAAGCTTCAAAATCATGCTGGGCATGTGTGCATGCGTATCCAAAGTCCCAGGAGGAGAATAGAGAGGAGAGGGGATTGCAGAGTGGTCATCCCCTCTGGGGGTTGATTTCTTACTTTCCCTCTCTCTGGCCAGCACATGCACCCTATGGCAAAAATCTTAAAAAACAAATAAATAAAAAAGTTAATGAATTAATAGACTCAGGAAATTATCAAGACTAAAAATGTCACAAAAAGATAACCAGACAATGTTTACTTCTGATAAAAGTTCTTACCAAAAACATTTAAGAATTTTAAAAAATAAGAAATATACTGAAACTAAATTTCAATAAGCCTCTAGATCTATATCCATGTTTCAGGAATAAAATAAAGAACGCATCAAATGATAGCATAGAGATACAACCGGCAAAGTCTTGACCTCAAAAAACTTGATAAAACAAAACTAGCCAATTTCTTTAATAAAAGAACAAAGCAAAGAAAAAAACATACACACACACAACAAAGAAAATAAAGAGATGGAGGTTAAAATTATTATGAAAAGAGACCTGAGAGACCTATCAACCAATCATAATGTTGAGACCTTATAATCCCTATTCAAAGAAAATGCAAAACACATATCGCCCTCATAATCTGGCCACTTATAGATAATTATAGAAGCTGGATGTGTGTACACCAGGTTTATATTATTTTCTCTACTTCAACATGTATTTCCATTAAAATTTTTAAATTATTTCTTTAGCTTTTACCTTCACAATGTTCTGCTCATTCCTCTGTCCCCATATACCTACCAAACTCTAAATCATAATTAAGAGGAAATAACAGAAGTTACGTAAAAATATTATAACTGTAACATAATGAAACTATTTTTTTTTAAAGTTTATTTATCTCCTCTGAAAAAGAGAGAAAGACAGGCACCCCAAGGGGGTCTCCATATCACAGTCCACCTCCAGCAAGCCTGGATCATAGACCCATGCCTGGAATGCACAGTGAGACCCCAGGACACAGTGTTCACAGAGAGATCTCAGGACAGTAATGTGGCACCCTCCATGTGGGTGCAACAGTATAGAGCACTATGTCACCACAGCACCACCAGCTGGTCCCAAACTATTTTGTTGTCTGCTATGATTTGAATGCACTCTCCAAAACTCACATCGAAATTTAATTGTCATTGTGACAGCATTAAAAGGTGGGACCTTAAAGAGGTGATTAAGTCAAGGGAGCTTTACCCTCATGATCAGTTTAATGCCATTACCATGGAAGTGGTACTAGAAGATTACCCTCTATTGTATAATAATCCTCTTTAAGGTTTCAAAGAAACCGATGAAAACTTACCAGAATCTACCTGTGATGAAAGCATCACCAATGACTGCGATGTTTCTAAATCATAAATAACTGCGCTACCAGTGTTGAAAGAGGACACCATATGAGCTGGATCACAGCCTATAAAGTCAACTGATGTAGGTATTCCATGCTCTGAAAGAAACCAAGAGAGACATGATATAAACATAATAATTTTGAAAATTATCCACTTTTCTAATAAGCAAAGGAATTTAAATATTCTTGAAATAATGTTAGTAATGGAAAAGAAAGCAATTGTGTTAGGATGGTGAGATAAGCAACTTCTCAATTGTTTAAGAAGTTATTCTATTTAATATTTATTTAACATCCTATTTAACATCTTGAGAAAAATATGAAACAGCTCTTAAATTAGGAATACATGTATAAATGCAAAAGTTATTTGTTTTCCTATATATTTTCTTCTAAGAGAAAAGTATCCTTCCTGGCAGTCTCTTGGCCCATTTATCAATTATATTTCTTACTGTACAGTCACAGATCAGCATTCTTACATCATTATCTATTAGAGATCTGTAAGCCTTAACAAGTAGCTAATAAAATCCATTTTTAATCTATGAAGATTAAGCTAGATGCTGGAATCTACTGACACAGTACTATCCTAACATGGTCTAAGCAACAATTTCTTTTGAAAATATTAAAGAAAGGTAAACTAGCCAGATCAATGCACAATTAGGTTAAATCTTGAGTCAATCAACTAAATGCCTGGATAAAGCAAGAAACAAATGTCTAAATATATAAAGTTCAAGTAATTAAAAAATTAGTAGAACTGCTAAGGAATTTAAGAGACACACAAAATTAGGCATATATTGCTCATTAAAAATGTCTGTAAACAATACAAATTTTTAAAAATACAAATACACAGCCTAATTAGGGCTGGCCTTGTGATTTACTGGTTAAGAAAGCCAGATCCCACAAATCTGTCTATGGTTCAAATACCAGCCCTGGTAACTTCAACGACATGCTTGGTGTGTGTGCATACTCAAAATTCCAACAGGACGGCGAAATGGACAAGGGATTACAGTATGACCTTGCCCTACCTGGAATGGAAGGGTGTTTTTTCCCCTTCCTTCTGTCTTTTCCTAAAGAGCACATGTATCCTCTAACAACTTAAAAAGTCAAATTAAAAAATAACTGGGAGAATGATTGGGGAAAACATAGAAAAGATATTGAATGTTGAAGTGGGGAGATTAATGTCTCTGTACTGACGGACATGCATGGCATTCCCTTTTGAAAAAACAATGTAATACACTGTAAAGTTATATGTAATCCAATGTAATATAAAGATTATGATGATGATAATAAAAAATTTAAAAAAAATAACTGGGAGGGACCAGCAGTTAGCTTAATGGCTATGTTGCTGGACTCCCATGTAGTCGACCACGGTTCGAGTCCTGGGCCCAGTGACTTAAACTCACACCAGGCACATGTGTGTGCGTGCCCAAGGTCACGAGAGGAGAATGGAGGAGAAGGGACTGCGGTGTGGCCATACCCCCTTGGGGGTGACTTCTCGCTTTCTGTCTCTCTGTCTGTCTCTGTCTGGCGAGCGTACATACCCTGTAGCAAAAACCTCCAAATAAATAAATAAATAAATAAATAAATAAATAAATGACTGGGACCAGCAGGTGGCATAGTGATTGGGGTGCTGGACTTCCACATGACCAACCATATTTTGAGTCCTAGACCCGGTGGCTTGAGACTCACTCCCAGGAATGTGTGCCCAAAAGCCTAAGAGGAGAATGGATTGCAATGTGGCCATCCCATCAGGGGCTGATTTCAATCACTTCCTCTGTCTCTCTGGTTAGCAACACATTGTAAAAAAAAAAATCACTTTCTCTTTTTCTCTCTTTAATGAGCAAATTAAAATAATAATAAATAAAATTATATAAATAATTCTTTTTAAAATAACTAAGAAATTACTTAGAAAGTAAGACAAGTAAAACTGTGTGTAATTATATACATACATGTGTGTGTGTATATATATAATATATATATAATGTCTTCTAAAGGCAAACTGATTAAAGCCTTTTTGATAGGAAAATATTTGTAATCATGAAAGTACCAATCTGTACTTCCCAATTAAGGATGCTATTTCAATGATTATAGCTGGACTCCTCAACCAGTGTGCTCAGGTTCATGGCACACATGATTCACAGATACGCTTGAAACTGTGATCCTTTCAGCCTTTGTGGATAGTCTCCTAGAGCAGGTTGAGTACTTCCTGTTATCCCTGTAAGTAGCCTCATTTGTCTACCCCACTGCTGCCAAGTTTCATTTCTTAAATGGAGCATGACCTGAAAAAGGTCAAAAAACAATGAGTTATAGAATACAACTGTAAAGTACTTCAAATTAAAAATTACTAGGAGTAAAATTATCATGACTTTTATAAACTATATCTCATTGGAAATGTAAAGAAATAACATTTCAATTGCTTTGCCTTTTTTCTATCTTTTTTTGGAGGGAGGCTAAAGTACATGTGTGCTTGTCAGAGAGAGAAGGGGAGGGAGAGAAGAAAAAGTGGTCTCCATATGGAATAGTCATACTGTAATCTGCCCCCCTCCACCTCTTCCTCCTTTCAGCATTTTGGATACACGTGCACACATACCTGGTATATTCTCAAACCACTGGGTCCAGGACTTGAACCATGTAGTCAGCCCCCTGGGATCCGGCTGCCTTAACCACCAGAGCAAAGAGCTGGCCCTGCCTTGTTATTTTTACCTCTCAAGTTAAAAAATTGAAAGAAAAAAAAGTTTTTCAAAGGCAAACTGTACTTACCCTTATCTCCATTGTAAGTGCAAATACATGGCAATTTTTCTTGTGGATTCCATAACCTAACAGTGCCATCTGCTGAACAAGATAGTAATTGATTTTTTATGCCACTATAAGCAAGACCCCAGACTGCATCTGTATGAGCAACTAAAGTGCCAGCTAGAACATTTGGCTCTAGGAAGAAACAAACAAACAAAAAATTAGCTAAAAGAAGTTTTTGAAAAATGCTTTGGTATATTAAGTTAACTAACTTACTATGTACTGAGCTGTTGGAAAGGTGATGATGCATTTTTTCTATGTAAATAATTCTGTGTAAATTTACATAGACATTTTCTACGTAAAAATGCATCATGACTATTCAAAAAATCCAATAATTAAGTATAAAGAACACAAATGCTTTAAGAAAATAAACCAATGTGTACACTAAAACGATATCTGTAAACAACAGAATTATGGGTTACTCTTCTGTATTTTCACAATTTCCCACAAGGAACATATGCTTAAAAAACCCAACTTTACTGAGATGTAATTTACATACTATACAACTCACTCATCGAGTGTACAATTCAGTGGTATTTAGTGTGTTTACAGAGTTGTGCAACCACCATAATTTTAGTACACTTTCATCACTCATTGGCCACTTTCTGCCAATTCCCCCTCACCACCTTTCTTCGGCTCTAGATAATCGCTAATCTATTTGTTCTCTATATTTGTTCTATTCTGGGCATTTCATAGAAATGAATTTGCAATATGTGACCTTTGATGAATGACTTTTTTCACTAATGATGTATTCAAGGCTCAGATGTTGTATTATGTATCAATATTTCACTTATTTTTATTGCCAAGTAAAACTTCGTTATATGGATATACCACATTTTATTTATTCATCATTCATTCATAAACTGAAAGACATTTCGTTTTATAGCCAATAACACTGAGCAGCTTCTGTCCGACAGTCCCCTTTTTCTAGTGAATTTTCCCACTTTCCATGAATATTTGTTTCTTTTTCTCTTTCTTTTTTTAAGTTTGCTATAGGGCACGTGAGTTCACTGGGGAGAGAGAGAGAAAAAAATCATCCTCTGAGGGGACAGCCATGCTGCAATCCCTTCTCCATTTTCTTCTCAGAATTTTGGGATCGTACACACACACACCTGGTGGCTTGTTTTTTGAGACGATGCGTTCAGGACTCAAGTTGCTCAGCTGGCCTTATAGAATCCATCTATCTTAACCACCCACATCAATGGCTCCCTCCATGAGTATTTATCATTTCGACATTTCTCATAGTTCCCAACCTCCCTTCCTCCTAAATGACTATACCTCATATTTTTCACTGAGAAAACAAAGCATTCAAATAGGAACCATCCTCTCTTTGTTTCTAAATATGAGTAAGAGACTGTCCTCTTTAGGCTAATTCCACTGGGTGTTTTCTGGATTTCGTTCCTCTCATTACATAGTTTTCATGTTTACTATCTCTCAACTACACAAATTCTCCTCTTTAGGATCATTACCGTGGCAGGAAAAAAAGACATTCCTGAATCTCTCTGCCTAAACAAGAAACCTCCACTAACCTTATCCCACTACTCTACCAAACAGTATATGAGCATACTGAGTAAATACAGTTTTTAATTCACTCTTCAAATCACTCTAACATTATTTCTGATACCATTAATATACCAAACAACCCTACCAAAGATTACTAACAATGACCTTTATTCTATTAAACTTTAAAAATATCTTTTTCTGATTATACAAAGCATTTATTATTTGATCACATTACTTTCCATCCACATAGACTAACTCGAAAGGTCATCCAGCAGTCTCTTCATCCTTTGGTCTTTCTTCCAAGACCTGAGTGACCTATTTGTCACTTTTATTTATTTTATATATGTATTTTTAAGGTGCTTGCCATAGAGACAGAGAGAGACAATGGGGAAATGGAGAAATCACCCTTTGGGGGGGATGGCCATGTTGCAATCTCCCCTCCTCCATACTCCTGTGCCCAGTGTGAATTTCAAGCTGCTGGGTGCCAAACTTAAACCATGGTTGGCCATATGGAAATCCAGCACCTTAACCACCTACCACCTCCTGGTCCCTCTATTTGTCACTTAATTTTAAAAGGAAACCTTTCTATTCTTATGCTATTAGATCTTTCAGTAACATTTGAAAGTGTAAACTGCTTGTATCTTCTCAAAATGACTTCTTCATTAAATATACACCATAACTCCACATCCTCCTACACTTTTTCCAACCTTGGTGGTCGTACCTTCCTGATTTCCTTTGTTTGCTTTCTTGTTCTAGCCAACCTCCTAGTATCAGTTACTAAAGACTCTGGACTAAGATCATCTTCTCTTCTTACCCTACATAATACACTCTCTCCAAGATGTATCATCGATTCTTAGTGCCATCTTTCAACATGTCCAAAATGCAAACTGACGACACACACTTGTTCTGTCCCAATGTCAATAAATGATACTACATATTTGATAGTTCATATTTTAAACCCAAGACTGATGGTGAATATCTTTTTTTTTTTTTTAAGAATTATTAAATTTGGGGACCAGCAGGTGGCATGATGGTTAAGGTGCTGGACACTCCCACATGGCTGACCATGGTTCAAGACCCAGACCTGGTGGCTTGCTTTCTCACTTTCTCTCTCTCTCTGTTTCGCTCTGGTCAAATTAAAATAAATGAATGAATAAATAAAATTAAATAATTATTTTCAAAAAGAATTCTTAAAAATTTATATTTATCATTATTGTTTTTTTTAAATTTGCTACAGGGCATGTGTGTTCATGAGAAAGGGGGAAAGAGAGGGGGAAGAAGAAGAGAGAGAGGAAAAAGGGAAAGGAGAAGGAGAGGGAGAGGGAGTAAGCAAGCCACCAGGTTTGGACTCAAACCATGGTTGGCTATATGGGAGTACAACACCTAATCATCACACTATCTGCTGGCTGCAATAAAGTCTTTTAAAATTTAGGTCCAGTCTTGCTGGTACAAGCAACAGCAGCATAGTAAACTACAGTGCTGAAAGCCAGATGGTCAACCACAGACCATACCCAGCCTGGTTGACCTGAAACACACTGAGCATGTGTGTGCTCAAGAATTTGATGCATGCCCAAAGGGCTGGGATAAGGGGATCACAGCCTGACAGGACACTATTGAGGGTACCTTTCGAGCTAACTGCTGGTCTCAGTTGTGTATTTTTTTGTTTAACTGGTTTATTCATATATAATTCACAAACTATACATATAGTTCACATTTTTAAGGTATACAATTTAGTAGATCTTTTTAAAAATTTTAAAGAATTGTTTATTTAATTTTACATTATTATTTTAAAATTTGCTATAGGTCACCTGTGCTCACAAGAGAGAGAGAAGAGAGAGAGAGGAAAATTGAAAAAGCAAGCTGCCAGGTCCAGGGCTAGAACCACAATCAGCCATGTGGAAATCCAGTGACTCAACCAACATGCCATCAGCTGGTGCCCTTAGTGGTTCTTACTGTGTTCACAAGGTTGTTCAATCTTTACCACTGTCTAATTTCAGAACTGTTTTCAATGTTTATTTTATTCATGGTAGAGTGTGTATATTGCACCCATGAAAAGAAATTCCATGCCTATGATTATTTCAGCAAGTTTGTGAATTGGTACTTTCTCTATGGTGTCCAAAAAAAATCTATACTAATTAAAATGTTAGTTAACATAATTTCGGTACTAGTTACAAAAAGAGGGAAACAAAATATAAGTAACAAAATTTTAAATTGAAATAGCTTATGGAGTTCAAAAATATTAAATAAAAGACTATGGAAACATATAGGGACTGTAGGGTAGAAATTTGTATAACCTTTTCAAGAGCAAAAAAATTCTGTAATTTCAAAGTAGGGGAAAGAAAACCTCTTTGATTTACAAATGTTACTTTTATAAATCTGTTCTTCAGAGATAATGTGCACTTGTGTTCAAATATATACATATAAAATTATTATAAGAATCAAAAATTAAGCTCTTTAGGGTTTTTTGTTTGTTTTTATATAATACACACTTGTTGCCTACATTTGCCAGGTATAGTGGTAAGCACTACCCAAAAAATAAGATTTAGTATAATGAATAATAGACATTAAACAAATTAGCCAAAGGACAGAGTCTATGGTAACAAATTGTTCAGTTATAAGAAGTTGGAATATTGTAAGAGAGAATAACTGGAGGAGATTTCTTTAGATGAGTAATCAAGAAAGGTCCATCTAAAATAGTGACATTCAATCCAAAAATCTCAAGAACAAAGGGAAATTTTAATGAAGAGTTTTAAAGTAAGAGATCTGATAAATATATAGTTTAAAAGGTGATCATAGGAACCAACAGATGGCAAAATGGTTACATCGCTGGATGTTCACGTGGCTGACCACAGTTCGAGTCCCAGACTGGGAGGTTTGAAGCTCACATCTGGTACATGTGCTTACATGCCTAACATCTCAAGAAGAGAATGGAGGAGAAGGGACTGTAGTATGGCTATCCCCCCCAGGGGAAAGGGTGATTTCTCGCTTTCTGTCTCTCTCTGGCTCTTCATCAAGCACACACACCCAATAGCAAAAATCTCTCTTTAAGAAAATGATGACTGAATGCTGTGAGGAAAATAAATGGAGTAAGGAAGGGTGGAATAAGGAATACAAATTTGGAGAGGACCATAAAGTGGTAGTCCAGTAGACGAAGTAATGTTGCCAAGATTAGAGTAGTGGTGGTAGAGTGGATAAAGGGAAGTGAATTTAAGATATATTGGAAAGTGGGGTAGAACAAAGAGATAGGATTTATTGATAAATTGATGAGTGAGTGACTATTTCATTTTGTATTTTTTTTTTTTTTAGAGAGGTATTTGCTATAGGGCACATGCCCTCACCAGGAAGACAGAGAGAGACAGAGACAGAAAGTAAGAAATCACCTCCCAGCAGGGATGGCTACACTGCAATCCCTTCTCCTCCACTCTCCTCTCAGAATCTTGGGCACACAAACACACATGCCCAGCATGAGTTTGAGCCACTGAGTCCGGGACTCAAACTACGGTTGACTATGTAGGAGTCCAGTGACAGCCATTACACCAACTGCTGGTCCCCATGAAATTTCTTAATTTTATACTTTAACAAAGCAAATTATTAGCAAATGGAAGAACTAAATGAGGAAAGTAAACACTCTTATAGTAATATCTGAGGTTTTTACTTCTGTAAGCTCCATTCACTGAAAAAAAATATACATTTTCACCCTTTTACTTACCATATGTATCATATGGATCCACATTAGGACTAGGCATATTCCACCACTGGATGGTTGCATCAATACCACCGCTAAAACACTGTTCTCCATTAGAACTAATAGCTAATGACAGAACAGGGCCACTATTAATAGGAAGAAAAAAAAATTACTTACAAATCTTAAAAAATAATTCAAATCTCCATTCCCCAACCCCTGATATAATGCAGTATCTAAAAACTGTTCTAGGTAAAAACATATACTTTAATGGTACTATTATATTCATATTCTAATATAATTATTTATCAAGTGAGCTATTACTTAACTATGTCTTTTTTTGGAGAGGTTTTTGCTATGGGGTATGTGCGCTTACCAGAAAGACAGAGAGAGACAGAGAGACATAAAGCGAGAAATCATCCCCCAGGGGGGATGGCCACACCGCAATCCCTTCTCCTCCATTCTCTCAGGATCTTTAGCATGCATGCGCACGCACCCAACATGAGTTTAAGCCACCGGGTCTTAGACTCAAATTGTGGTCAAATACATGGGAGTCCAGCGACATAGCCATTATACCAATTGTTGGTCCCAATATGTCTTTTGTAATATAAAGCAAACATTGAGAAAATTAAAAAGTTTGAACATTTATAAATAATAGCTAACAATAACTATGGTGAATTAAGTATTAATTCAATAATAAATAAACTTACATGTGGGCCCTAAATGTGTAGATAGGCTCTACATCTAAAGAGGCACTCCTAAAACAGGGGGCCGGGGAGAAAGAAAAGGCAATTAAATAACCAAAAATCACTCACTAATATTAAAGAGTCATTAGGTAAGATCAAACGTGTGTATAAAGGACAAGTAAGAGTAAAAAGGAACAGTTACTTATTTTAGCAAAATTAGAAGAAAGAAAATAAGCTAACATTAAAATACTTGCTTTTTGGCAGGAACTGTTTTTTGCAAGTTCCAAAGTTTAAGGGTATGGTCCTCAGACGCAGTAACCAGCACAGGTTCTACAGGATGAAACGCTAATGCCCGTACTCCATCAAAATGGCTACGAAGTGTATACTTGGGGTTCCATGTCTTTCGAAAGGCATCTTTATTGGCAGGCAACTAAAAAGAAAGAGCAAAGTACTTATGGTAAAAGTAGTAAATTGGTAGGCATGTGGAGTTTTAGTTTCTTTTTCTAAATTTTAAACTGTTTAGCTAAAATGTCCAGTGGAAATTTAATGTACCTTACAAACTTTGTAATAAACCTTTACCACTTAATAAGCACTCCAAAGAATAATCTCATTAGCCTTTCAGTATCTATATCATATGAAGAATTCCTTAATCTGTTTTTACCTAATCAAGCTAACCCCAAAGCTCCTTAAATATCAAATGAGAACAAATAATCACCAATGCCACAATATTTTACATGGAAACAAAAATTTTATTTAGATTACTACCAAATATCCCAGGGAACAATACTGATGGTACAACTTTTAATTAGGAAATTATTAGCATGTGAACTTTTTGGTTTACGGCACCATGTGCTCACTGGAAGGACAGAGACAGAGACAGAGAGACAGAAAGCGAGAAATCACCCCCCTGGGGGGATGGCCACACCGCAATCCCCTCTCTTCCAGTCTCCTCTCAGAATTTTGGGCACGAATAGGCATGTGCTTGGCATCAGTTTTAGGCTGCCGGTTTAGTACTTGAACTGACATCCATGTGGGAGCCCAGCGACATAACCATTACGTCATCTGCTGGTCCCAACATGTGAACATTTTGAAGGCAGTAATTTAAAGTACTTTCTAAAGTCTTAAAGACCCTTTAAGAAAACTTTCATAATTCTTGATAATGATAGAAGTTATTCGCTTTTGTTTTATTTCTCTAATTATAAAAATAGGTCCTAAAACCACTTCTAAAGCAGCCAAAAATTTAGCTGTTTATAGTCCTTAAAAATTTTAATAAAAATAATTCAGCCCAGCAAGGCTGATGTGTCTAACAAGAATGCTAACATAAGATGTAAAAAAAAGAAATGTTGTCGAAGGAAAAAAAGTACTGAAAAGCTGCAATTCATTGATATAAACATCTAAACAAGCATACTTAATTCTCAATTGAGTGTTAAGTGTGTAAAAAAAAAGTACAAGACTGATTTTACTTAAGAACTGCTCTTTCCTTCCCTTCCATTCCACTCTCTCACCATCTCTTAAATGAAGGAGATAATCATTCAGGAAATGATACAAGCTAGCTCTAACATTATCCTTAATAAAAGTTCAAAAATATAACGTGCTTTAAAAAAAGTATCCTAATGGCAAATAAGTGACTTTGACTTGGGTTTTCTATTTCTTTTTTCTTATTAACATCAAAATATGACTTAGTTTAAGTAAGTAACTGAGAATTGACTATTCAAGATGCACTTACTGACTAATATTTTAAAATAATCACCCCAAACCCCAGGTAATCCACCAAAATACCTAAGAAAAATTTAAATACCACGAAGAAAGTAGTTATAAAAGGAAAACTGCATGTCAGTTCATATCACACATTGACAACCTTAAACTTGTCTTTCTCATGCACCTTGACATTAATTGTTTTATAAGTGATTCCGAAAAATAAGGAGCCTATTAAATCATTAAAAAATTAAAAATAAAACTGCACTTACATCATAACTATAGTCTGCATCATTTGTTACCGTCAAGTCTGCAAGGTCTCCAAGGCCCAGTACACTTAACAAAACATCATCAGAACCCATAATAAATGACTTGCCTCCTCCAGATGGAAACGTTATTGGTTCAGCTATAAAGAACAAAACCGCTTCTTAAATGCTGAAAAATCATACAGTACAACACAATACTGTGGGGGAAATTTAAGCACTTAACAATTATGATATTTAGTAATATGATTCATTTTTATTTTCCTATTTCCATGCCAAAAAAAAAATCCTATTGCTGAGTAGTAAACAAACGTGTAAGAAATATAAACAGTAATGTTCTACAGATTCAGGATAGACTAGATATATTACTCTGGGGTGGAAAGTAGGGTACAAGAACTTTTGCTTATTTAAATTAAATCCCTTATCACTTCAGTACTATAGTTTGTGTGTCACATAAAAAGACAAATTTTGATTAAATAAAGGAGTTAAATAATCAGATTTCCACTATTCATAGGGAATAAACCTATACCATTTATCTTAAAGTAGCTCATGGAATATTTTTCAAACGTACTAAGTCATTGCTAAGTCCTTTTGCTTTCTAAAAATACACTAAACATTCTGGTCTCTGATAAAAATCTAAGCATTCAAATGTACAGTATATCAGCTTATTAGAGGAACTTTAACTGCTCAGGACCCTCTAATAATATCAATGGTTTAGGAAGTTCTATCACCAGGAATGTT